AGATTTCTTTTATTTTGCATTACATATTTGGATAAAGAAAAGTTAAGCAAATTCAACATCGATTTGATACTGATAGAAATCTGGATCAATTTGTGATCAACTCTGTTTGGTTTGTTTCCTAATTAAGTGAGGAAATTTTAATTGAATGCACCGACAAATAAATATATACACAAACAAATGTTCGTTTATGGTTAAAACAATTCAAGTTTTTGTATTGAATTTTTGGTTTAAAATTTATTTTTTCCTTTTCAGTAGGGTTTTTGCACATTATCTCCTGCGTGAGAATTGATCGTAATATATACGCATCTAAATAAGAGACTGGAACATGGCTGTTTGTCAAGAGCATACGATTTCGAACTCGCGTAAATGTACATTTGCTAAATGCTATAGCATGAACGCTCTTCGAAAACATATGTTCGAAAGTGCTAAATGTTGCATTTTTAATGCAGCAAAAACGCTGCATTAGTATAATGAAGTGCAAGTTCCATGTCGCTAAAAATTTTCATTTACTTCTTAGATTTTTTTTTGTGGAGTGTTGCGCATTTTTTTCCACATAAAAGTCAGTTTTGCTTATGCTTACTAAAAACTTTGTGAAGTTCCGTACATGTAGTATAGTGCACATGCTTAAGGCAGGGCACAAAAGCTTAAAACGAATTATAAATTGTAATATCGCAATTGTTCAAAGCTTTGTTTTTTCGAAATTGTTAGTTTTAATTTTTATGATCATTGATAAGATTGCATTGATAAGTACTGTTTACAGAGACGTTGACCCGTATGATGGTTGCCAGAACGTTTGACATCGGGATCTGGCCGGTGCCATGTGCACTCGGGCGTGCAACGTATGCGGGTAAGTGTTCCACCGCGAATTCTATATTTTGTTTATAATTTATATTACTTTCAACGAGCGATTTGTGTATATGAGTTATTTCCAAACAAAGTGCTATCTTTTTGTCCCCCATTTTCAAACTATTTTATGGTGGTTAAAACGAAAAATTGAAAAGAGCATTATGTGATGCAAATAATGAACCACCAACAAAGCTGTTTTTTATTATTGTGAGTCGTTTTTTTTTCTTTTGAGAACGGTATTTCTTTGAAACACGTATTATACTTACTCCATATAAAAATATTTGTCCCCGCTCAGGTTATGCGATAATCAACATGAAAAAAAGTTTGAACAAAGAAACAATGAAAAAAGCGTAACTGTTTGTGAATGACCACCATAACTTTTTTGTTTTATTCTATTTTGGTTATAATATTGCCCCGCTAATTTTCTTGAATATCACTTTTTTTGTCGTGATATTAACTTTAGTTCTTTTGCTTGCCTAAGTGCATTGCAGTTAAGAAGCAAAAGAAGTTAACGATCGATTGACATAAGAAATAACTTATAAAACAGGGAACTGCAATTATTCATGATTTTAAGTAATTGGTTGAATAACACAANGAATTGGATTTAGGCAATGGCTTCTAGATTCAACAGGACAATAATCCGCAGCACTTTGTCAAAATAGTGCAATTGCTAATTGAGAATTTATTGGCTGATCTTCAATAAAATATAAGGAAGCATATCACGCCGAAAAATGAACCCTACAGATTCTTATTTTTGTATACGTAAACAACACACGTCGTCGATTCGACGAGTAATGTAAATCTAGCCGCTATCATTGAAGAATGGGGGAAATAAAGGAAAATCACATAAAACTCACTAAATCACGCAAAATATACTGCTAGAGGTAATGAAATAAAAAGGTATGCAGATTAGATACTAAAATTAGTTTTAAGGAAGTTTTAGTTAAATGCTATTAAGAATGCCGAATACTTTTGTCCAACTCTAAACTAACTTGCCTTAATCCATACATACATACTATGTGAAATTATTTAGTTTAAATGGTTCGAACTAATTACATACATATGCCGTTTTTTCCCTGATATGTGGCGCTTCATTCTATTTTTGCAGAAAAATATATTTGTGGCATTTTGCTCCCGTTTTAGATATTTTTACCTTAGTATGGTGTAAAGCCGGAAACTTTTGTCCATTACTGTATTTGCATGTGAAATCTTATTTCCTTAAAATAACCGATAGAACACAAGCAACACGAACGCTAACTTTTGGGCTTTGCAAAGGATGGAACGATGTTCCGACGTAAATAAATTTACGAAGTCGCCCCAATCTTTTTTTTAATTATAAATTTAACACGTTATTTAAAAAATTGCAATACTTTTCTGACATTTGGGATATTTACCAGAAGCAACAACAAAGTAATCGTAAATGTTGTGTTTGCTCTAATGCGAGTACCTGTTTCATATGCCTTCATCTATACATTAAAGTATGGCAAAGGATTCCCTTATGCCCGCATCGCGATAAGTCGCTCTGCCATAGTTCCAAAATGTATTTACATACATTAGGGCGGGTCAAATTTTTTTGCATCAAAGGCACATCGCGATTATGGTTATTTGGGTAATTTCAAGCATTTTTCTCCCAAAAACCATAGGTCTTAAANATATTCATTGAAAAATATTCACACATATGCACTAACACTATTTTACGTAGGGCACACAAAGCGAGAGTACCCTGCAGTGAAAAGCTAAACCAGTATGCACAAATTCCAGTTCATGAACTATTATTTAAGGATAAAAGTCATACCAGTTCGTTATGAACCATAATTATACCAGTTCCGCGCAGAAAAAAGTAAACTAGTTGGTAGAAATTCTAGTTCGAAAACTGGTATTAAATGGGAGAGTCATACCAGTTCGTCATGGACTATAATTATACCAGTTCTCCGCAGTGAAATGCCAAACCAGCCAGTATAAATACTAGTTCATTAACCAGTATGTGCTAAAGCGACGGCCAAACATTTCGGCGATTTCGAACAACTTATGCGATCAGCGACATCTGTCTTTGAATAGGCATAACCAAAACTAAAACGTGGTTAATTACTTTCATCACAAATGTCGGCTGTGGCGTCGAGTGAATAATACCGATTCTGGTTCTGAGATCTCAGGTTCTGGTGCGCGTGGAGGTTGTTAAAGTAAAGTAAGTAAATTAATTTAAATAATTATTTCAATTTAAATATAAAATAAAAATTGTACATAAATTTAATTTGATTTGGAAAAACTAAATACTCAAATACCATAAAAAAATGAAAATAAAGAATTTTTTGTTCTTTTTAAAACAATAAATTTAAAAATTACACAAGAGATATAAATAAAAAATAAACCAATAAAAAAAACAAAAATAAAAAACTCGGAATCTCTTGATCTGGCGTTCCAAAGCTTTATTCTGTCGACCATTGCCACTGTTGCAGCGCCGCGAGCACAATGACATACTTATGCTTTTCACGGGGGATGAATAGGCAGTCTATCCCGTCAACTGGTATGATGCTACTAGTATTTCTACTGGTAGCGTGCTGATGCAGGAGCGGACAATTGACATCTCCTATGGCACCGCCATGTTAATAAAATTATAGTTTAAAAAACTAAAACCTCCCTATTATAATTGCCGTTCGTACTGTCATCAAGTATGTAACTTGAGAATAGAAATCGCTGCATCTTTTAGGCGCATCAATATTACATAGTTACATCCCGAGCTAATAAAAGGAGGGTAAAAATACCAGTCGCTAACATTGAAAAAGGATACAACGTGAACTAGTTGGGCTGAAACGCAAACTGGTAGCATCCTGCTTCACAACTGGTAGCTTTCCCTGCAGAGTATGTACAATGACTAAGTTCTCTGTTGACATGAATTGGTGTAGTGCTCAATTCTCTCATTGAGCCATTAAACAAATGTGTTATACCGAAATGAGTCGCAGCACTAAGAAGCACCAATAGTTCAGTTTAGTGATTTTCATCGTTTATAGCAACAAAACATGTACAAAAGACGAGAAAGCGACAGCATGTGAAGGCACAGTAAAGAGCGAAATACACCACACAAGCGGCTTGTCAAACATTCTTCAAACCTACTTTTCCCATTTCGCCATACACCATGCAAACATGACTCGTTCAAGCAAAGAATTTTAGTTTTCTTCCAGTTCGCAATGCTAAATATTATGGTTTTCTTTCATTTTCCTCTCTTACGTCCTTACTCGGTGAAAATTTCGTTGCGAATGAGGCGATTTTGCTATACACAACGCAAGCGGTTTGATCAAACATCAACATGGCGGCCAGAAAATCAAAAAAATTTGATTTTTGGTCAAATTTCCCTCAGGCGGTCTGTCAAACCTTCAAACACCCCCATACACAGCACAAATGGCTTGAAGCAAAGGGAAATTTCGCTTGGTTTGTCAAACCGCTTGTGTGGTGTATTTCGCTCTTAACACACTCTCACTTTAAGCTCACACTTGTTTATACCCAGTGGGAATTAGGAGCACGTAATAATACCTTATTAGCAACTTACTCTTCACCTGGCAGTCATTGCCATTTCCCTGCCGAACGTCCCTTACTTTTACAAAGGCATGGCCGCCTTATGTAATTAGGAATTTAGAATGTACATTTGGTATCAGACATACTTCTGAGCCGCTTTACAAAGTAAGTTACGTGTAATGCAGAGAAGTCGCTCGGAGTAGTTCGGCGCTTGGAGATAACTTCGGCTGCACGTTACTTTGCAACTGACAACGTAATGTGTCGTTGGAGGTGTTCATTTTGTGCTTTACTAGTAGATGACATTGGCCATGATGACAATTTTGGTACTAAAAACTGAAAGAAAACATGGCTTACCTCGTAAGGTGCTTACCTATTTTCCCAGTGGGTAGTGGCGCCCGCATGTCGTACAGTCCCAGTGGGAATTAGGAGCACGTAATAATACCTTATTAGCAACTTACTCTTCACCTGGCAGTCNAATAGTCAACTCTAGTCAATATATGAGTGTCGTGAAGTTATGATATTTAAGACCATTAAGAATTAACGATGACACTGTTTCTAACTATATGAAGCTGATTTCGAAATTTTGTTTTAATAAGATATAGTATCGAAAATATTCTTTCAAAACTTGCCTAGGAATGTGAGGTTGATAGCACACCTTTTGCTATGTTATAATGGTTATTTCAAAACCTTTTTTCAAAACCTACAAAGGCAAAAACGAGAAGGCGAAGACAAAAAGATAAAAAAAATCCCGCAGTGAATTTTCAGAGCTATGTATATATTTATAGTTTTCATCACAAAATTGTACTAAAAGGTACTGCGTAGTAAACGAAATTGTTTCAAAAAGTACAATTGTACCAAAAATGCCACTACTGATGTAGCGCAAGGCAGAACACAAATAATATTAAACTCATTCAAATTATTTTCAGCCTCTCACNGTTTGCTCAAATATTTTCTTAGTGCATGCATACATAGATTCCCTTCAAGATCAATGATTTGATGGTATTCATGGGAAAGTTTATGTAGGTAAATTTTACACTTTGAACATAAATGTGTATGCACATATTTTAAGGTTCTTAACAAACACATTTTTTCAAGTTTTTATGCATGGATAAAAGATACATCTTTTTTGAATCCAGTACTAAAGTTTGACATTTTATTTTTAGTAATCCAAGTGCTTATCAAAACTTTACGACACTCACATATTGACAAGATTGGCCANGCCAAATGAGTAAAATCCAGCTGGGTAGATCAGTGATGAAATTGATGGTACAATTATACTTTTTTCGTACATTTTGGAATCCAAAAGTACATTGGTACTACATTGACATTTTTAATACGTTTTTGTCAAGATACGGTACTGCAGCTCAATTATGTCGAAATACCACACTCTATTTATATAGTCATATTTTTCTACCATATTTAAGTAAATACATGGTGCTTATNGTACATGTTTTGAGAATGCCGTTTGTTGCCCGATCAATTTAAATGAAGCGCAAGTTTAAAATAGCTGCGACTTATCGTTGATTTTTAATATATATGTTTTTTTTTTATAAAGGTGTTGCTCATTTTCTTCGTTAAAAAAATCGCGTTTAGATAATATGACATTGACGGTAAATTCCAGCTACTTTAAACTTGCACTTTATTATACTAAAATTTAAATAGAAAGCTCGAAATTTTTACGAAAGTTTGTCGATTTTTTTAATGTTGTTCAAAGATTTAAACTTATTTTCATACAGTTTTTGTTAAGGAATTAACTATATTTTTATAAACAAATAATTAGAATTAAAAAATAATAGAAAAAATAGTCAACTCTAGTCAATATATGAGTGTCGTGAAGTTATGATATTTAAGACCATTAAGAATTAACGATGACACTGTTTCTAACTATATGAAGCTGATTTCGAAATTTTGTTTTAATAAGATATAGTATCGAAAATATTCTTTCAAAACTTGCCTAGGAATGTGAGGTTGATAGCACACCTTTTGCTATGTTATAATGGTTATTTCAAAACCTTTTTTCAAAACCTACAAAGGCAAAAACGAGATGGCGAAGACAAAAAGATAAAAAAAATCCCGCAGTGAATTTTCAGAGCTATGTATATATTTATAGTTTTCATCACAAAATTGTACTAAAAGGTACTGCGTAGTAAACGAAATTGTTTCAAAAAGTACAATTGTACCAAAAATGCCACTACTGATGTAGCGCAAGGCAGAACACAAATAATATTAAACTCATTCAAATTATTTTCAGCCTCTCACTCGGCCAAATGAGTAAAATCCAGCTGGGTAGATCAGTGATGAAATTGATGGTACAATTATACTTTTTTCGTACATTTTGGAAGCCAAAAGTACATTGGTACTACATTGACATTTTTAATACGTTTTTGTCAAGATACGGTACTGCAGCTCAATTATGTCGAAATACCACACTCTATTTATATAGTCATATTTTTCTACCATATTTAAGTAAATACATGGTGCTTATTAAAAACGAAACTCTTACTTAAATCAAACAAAAAAGTTGCTGTCTATTCATAATATTTTCCAGTAAGTACTAGCAGCCAGAGAATAAAATAATCATAGCGAGTAAAATTGAGGGGAAGACTAATATATCAGAAAACGTTATTGAACCCAAAACCAGTAACAACGTGAAACTTACGCCATTCTGACTTTCTGATAGGTAAATTTGGTAGGAGTATTTTTGTATTCTCCACACAAAATCCTCCAGCAGAAAAAATCCTGAGCAGTTTGCAAAATTTGCAAAAACTTGTAATCTTCGAAACTGCTGATAACTTTCACAGTTGCTATAGGTGGTTCATTTGGTAATTTATTATCCGCTTGGTGCATTGTTCCCAATTTGGAATTTTTTTACTATTGAATACTTTTGTATAGGAAAATGTTTTTAAAATATAAATGAATTATCTCGGAATGAATAAGTTTTTTTCTAACAAATATTTTTGATACCACATTATGACGCGTTCAAAAATAAAAGAATCTCCTCTAAGCACCCTTCTTTGTTTCACAAAAATTAAGTAGATATAGCTACAAATTTGCCTTTAAAATTATCCCATATTCGTTTTAACGATCAACTGACAAATTCGGTCAGAACCTTTCCGCATTATTATCTATTTTTGGTATATTTCTGGAAAAATATGGTACAATTGAAAAATTGTATACGGCAGCCACCCATAGTTAACGCCCGGAAATTAGAAAATTAGAGATTAATACTAAATTAACTAAATTAAACTTTTGTTTCTTTCTTTCGTTTATTCACGAACACATGTTTGTGATCAGCAGACTTTTTTACTTGTAAGTTTTCGCAGGTAAATTTTTTTCCAGCAGCGCTCTCGATTTCCCCCACTTTGCAAGAGAGCACTGCTATTAACTTGTTTATTTCTATGAAAGGAAACATTTTTGTAAATATTCCATTCCGTTAAATGCAACGGATTTTTAATGAAAATTTTTGTATTACTTGCACTAATGTAATAAGTATAACTTGTATGCTTTTGTTGATTACCTTGGCGTTTGGTGGCCTTTTCAATTTGATTTGCACTTAAGTTTTCCACCTTCGACACTCCATGTTTTATATCATGATTTTTATACAGAAAATCTAAAAACATGTATATGTAACTATGTATGTATGGTCTTTTAAATGTTGGTACTTTCTCGGCTTTTTTAGTACACTTTTTCTTGGCCATTTGGTACAAAATTAAAAAACTCATTTATCATCCCTGGGGTATACTATACTCGATAGAGGCAAAAATTGCCGCGACACATTAGTTAGTATATTTTGAGTGTGTTCTTGTTTTGGTGGAAATTACTCTTATGCAGCGTTTTCGCTGCATTTAAAATGCAACATTTAGCACTCTCGAACATATGTTTTCGAAGAGCGTTCATGCTATCGCATTTAGCAAATGTACATTTACGCGAGTTCGAAATCGTATGCTTTTGACAAACAGCCGTGTTCCAGTCGCTTATTCAGATCCGTATCTATTACGATCAATTCTCACGCAGAAGATAATGTGCAAAAACCCTACTGAAAAGGAGAAAATAAATTTTAAACCAAAACTTCAATACAAAAATTTGAATTGTTTTAACCATGACAGACCATTTGTTTATGTATGTATTCATTTGTCGGTGCTGTCAATTAAAATTTCCTCACTTTATTAAGAAACAAAACAAACAGAAATGATCACAAATTGATCCAGATTTCTATCAGCATCACATCGATATTGAATTTTCTTAACTTTTCTTTATCCAAATAATGTAAAATAATAAATGAAATCTCGATCGGCGATCACTGAAACGCAGCTAGCCACTGTATACTCGAAAATGCAATGTTGCGACTTTTTCTCATTAAACCATGTTCGAATCGTGGAAATTTTGGAAGATCACAGGGTTGCTTTTAGCATTTAGATTCTTAATGCAAAAATGGAGTTGCATTTAGTTGCATTTAGGTGACGAATTTTGTATGGATAAATGTACATTTAGAGTAGCATTTAGAGCTAAATGCGCTAAATGTGCTTTTACGCGTAAGCAAAAACAGCCCATTATCCATTTTTTTAATTAGTGTAAGCACTCATTTGCACTAAATGTTATGGATCATGAATAAGTACACTAATTTTATTAGTACTCAAAGCCGGTCTCTGTTATAAAATCAATTACTTTTTGTGTGTCTTAAGTGAATTTATCATTGCACCATGGTAAGTAAGGCTAAATATTTCCGGAATGTCACCTAGTTTTTGATGCAAAAAAAAAACACTAAATTACCAATGTCTCTTTATTGCTTAAGGAGTTTCAATGATTTTCTTGTTTTTATATTTTGGTGAAATAAGACTTTTAGAAAAAAAAACAAAAAATTTGAAATATTTCCAGTATGTCGCGGATTTCTTAATTATTTCTCCAAAAGTGTTCAAATGGTATATGGGAAATTGTTGCCGAATAAAGATTAAACAAAAAGCCTACCTCTCAAGAAAATCCCCACGTTAATGTCATAAGAAGGTGAAAAACTTCAATGTTAGCATATAAATGAGTTTCAAAGTGATATGCAAATGTTTAAATAGCATGCATTTAATGTTAAAAATCAGTACAATGCTTATGCTTAATTTCTACTAGGCATTGATATGACAAACAATTTGAGGCATTAAAAAATAGCATGTGAAAACTAATTTAATGACTATTTTTTCAACGTAACGACACGAATATTTTTTAATGCCCTACTTTTCCATTGGAATTTTTGTTATTTAATACCTAGAGGAAATCCAGCTTTACTTTTTAAAAAGTGACATTCTGGAATATATTTTACAAAAATAAGAAAAAAAGTTAATTTTTAAAGAGCCTGAAAGCTGTTTCGTATTCTGCACAAATTTTCACGTAAGTAAACGATTTCAGAGGATAAATTTATCAATCTTAAAAAAAAATATAAAAAATACCTGTCGTGTACACTTTGCTTGGAAATGACCCATATACGTTTGTGAATATGTACATATACATATATGTAAATAAATATATATCCATAGGTTTCTCGGAAACGGCTATAGCGATTTTGATGAAATTTTGTATTCAGACAATGTTTTGCATTCTAAGGTTATCTAAAGAGGTGTTATGCCCGCGAATGTTCGTATAAGGTTACCATCTATTCCAAAATATTTATAAATTAAATGTTATTATATTAAACGAGCAATTCTTGTACATATGTAAATATACATACATATGTATGTTTATATTATATCCATAGGTTTCTCGGAAACGGATCCAACGATTTTGACGAAATTTTGTATGCAGATAATATTTTGCATTCTAAGGTTATCATCATGGTATGGGTATCAAATCAAAAGTATTTTAAAAATCCTTAATTCAGACATGTTTTTGAATAGGGTTGCAACCATTTTCCATGTCGTATTTATTTAAATTATTGTTTAGAAAATTAAGAAACACAATTACCCTTCATCAGCACTAAAAAGCAAACAATCCTTAAAAAATGTATAACGCGTCTAAAGCGATACGAGCCGTGTGCAGACTGACATTGCGTGCACGTTCATTTTGTTTCACTGAAAACATGTGGTACTCCTGCAAGAAGCCTGACCTATGATTATCGGTTAAATTAGTGGGAAAACTTCGATAGCAATTAGGGAAGACAACGATTAGTTCGATTAGTTAGTAATTCGTAAGGTAATTGTGTCTGAATTACTTACAAATGAGGTAGGTAATTCGCTCTCAACATTTTGTGTGGCGAATTAAAGCTCAGTTAGTCTAGACTTAACTTAATTTAACTTTCCGTAAGAAATCATCAATTATTACTGAACACGTGAATTTAGTCCAACAGCAGAAATATTTTGTTTTTGCATTTTTTTCAGCTGTTTATCAGTTCGCTGGCTAAAACGCCATATCAACAAAATTCATGCAAACAAAAATGTTTGCTTTCATTTATTTTTAAGAAATATAAAAACGAGAGTCTGGCAAGCCTGATTCTCTCACCGCTCTCAATTTCCGTAAGGCCGTAACTTAAGAACCTAAAATCTAGAGGTTCTTAAGTTTCTTATGGTAAGTTAAGTTTTAACCATCCGCCAACACAGTTTCTTATATAACAGGTTGGCCAAAATTATAAGTTAAGTTACGTTACGGAAATTAACTCTAGACTAACTGAGCTTTTTCGCAGCTCGAAGTGTAATTGGGGCGCCAATTACGAATGAGAGAGCCAATTACGAGATTTTATAGGCAACTTTAGAGGCGATTAGTTGAATTAAAAGTTGGCTGCCCGAACTTCATTGGAAGCGATTAGTTGAAAGGCCGTTCACACCAGGCTTGTTTTGCTTTTAACTCAAAGTTGCCTGCAAAATCCCTCATATATATATATAAATATGTGTTTGCATCGTAATATTAAATAAGAAATTCCATTAACAATATTACAAACAAAATATTTATAAATTAAAACTACATATCTAAATGAACACTATTTGGTATCCAAACCTTGATATCTTATTTAATGTCTAAAAACTTTAAGAGTATGTATATGCTCGGTCAAACTGGTACTTAATTAAAATGCGCCGTAATCATAGGAGGTCCTCACACCGAGCTCGGTAATATTGTAGCTGGTTTTCGTTGGCTTCCGTGGTTTATTTTTTTCTTGTAAAATTGCCATTTTTCCGAATAAAAATTAACCGAATTACCGAGCTGGCAGCTCTGATTAAGTTCTAAAGAATAGCTAAACGAAATACGTTAACACACCAGCNCGCGCCGTAATCATAGGAGGTCTTCACACCGAGCTCGGTAATATTGTAGCTGGTATTCGTTGGCTTCCGTGGTTTATTTTTTTCTTGTAAAATTGCCATTTTTCCGAATAAAAATTAACCGAATTACCGAGCTGGCAGCTCTGATTAAGTTCTAAAGAATAGTTAAACGAAATACGTTAACACACCAGCTGATTTGTGCTGACAGTCATTTCAAGGTCTTATTTGCAACTATATGTGCAAATAATGAGTAACAGGTCTATTCTGCATATTACCGATGATATTGTTACCGAAAAATATTATTATCAAAAAATTGTATCACCTCTTGTCACCGCAATTCTAGGTAATGCAGTCAAAATATTGAGTAATTCAGCTATGAAGGTTTGTGAAAATTCTGGTATTTCATATTTAACGGGCCAATATTTTGTTACTAGCTTATGAGATTTTAACAAAATTTACCGGCTACAAGAGTACACAAAATGCGTAAAGAGGTTTACAAATTTAGAGGACCTTTATTTAACGGGTAAAAAATGTTTGCTACCAACGCAGAAAAGACCTGTAAGTATAAAATAACTGTATGTTATGTAACTTTATATTAAAATTTTTAATACAAAATCAACAAAAAAAAATTTCGGTTTACCGTGAAGTAATAGCAAAGTGGCGTTCCCACTTAGGAAGATTTACCGAGTTAACGAATACCCAGTACAATTTTACCGAAGTTGGCGTGAAACTCCCTATAGTTAAAAGAAAGTTGACAGTGAAGTTAAGTAGCTGCAGGTTTTTGACATAATTTTCAATGTCAAAAAACTGCAAGTAACTTCAGAATCAACTTTATTTCGCCTATGAATATGCCCCAATATTTTTCGATAGCCGAACACAGGTTTTTTTAAAACTAGGCCCCCATCTACAATCATGTTGAATACGTACAACATTAGTTTAAGTTCGTTTAATTAGTAGAGCTAAAACTTTATGGGTTCGAAATAATAATTTGTTATATTTCGTCGCTTATCCTTTAAAATTCTTATGTATGTACATATGTACATGTAAATTCTTAGCGACTTGTAGCTGTCAGTAGAATAAGTTGCTGTCTCCACAGGCAAAAGTTATTTTCTTGAAAATGTTAACAGGCAATATTTTGCCAATGGAGACCGCATATTGCTCTTGGCATGCATAATTATCAGAGCTTTCATTTTGACAAATATTAACAGTAATTTTGTAGTTTGACAGCTACATTTTCATTTGCGTGAAAACTTCGTGGCGGAAACATTATCTATATTTATTATAAAAGCGAAAATTGAGATGTTTTCTATTAAAATATTTGTTATTATGCAAATTTTTTAAGTGATTAAATCCGGCAAAAATACTTGTTATATCAGTCAATAAAAATTACAGTTGGTAAGCAAAAACATTTGCCTGTGGAGACGGGTTATAAGCCCTAAAGTTGTTAACGTACACTAGACCGTACCTCGATGTACACATGTGCTGCAAAAAAGTGCAATTTGTTCCAAGAGGCTTTGAACACTCACTATGTGAGTATTTCAGGAAAGTAAACATTTTTTTCGACACCCTGTAAAACCATCTCGTTTTTTTTTTAATATGACAGCACTACTCCAGTAGCGCTGTATATGGCAAGGAGATAAATAAAATCCTTAAACCGCCAGGTTATCTTTCAGATGGTTTCGAAGCGAAATATGCAATCGCCTTGGGTGGATGTGTAAAACACATGGTATTGTACCCAGATTATCATGATTTATTATTTTTATTAATTTTGAAATAGCGATTTGTTGGCAGACCGCATGAACCAATTAGAACAGATCTGACGGTTGAGAAGCATCCATTTGTAATAGCCAGGGAACGGATTTTTAAGAACTAAAAGCCTATAAAAAAGGCAAAATAAAATAACGAAATAGGCAGGAAAAGGCACAAGGTATTGCAAAAAAAGCAAAATAAGGCACTAAAAAAAGAACAATCAAAAATACATTCGGCCCTATTCCCATTGTCGAAACGGCAGTCGTTCGTCGACATTTGAGATTTTCATTGGCGTTATGAGGCAACCAATGACATAATCCACTACAAATTTGTATTCCTTTTGTCCATTCGAAATGAATAAGTATTGAAAACGTGTTAAAATCTGCCGTTAGTGTTTTTATTTTCGGCATAATTCAACGAACCAGAACAGCGGTGATTAATTTTAGAAATATTTATATTACAAGTAAAAAGAGAAAAACTATAACTAGTTTCATTATATGAAAATTTGTACATTGAATCTTTGATTATTTTATCCTTTCGAGTTTCTAACTCATAAAACTTTAATCTGTATAGTTGTAGTAACATTGAACCACAAGATGCATTTTGAAATATTCTGGCAGCATTTTCATTCGATTTTCGCTAAGAAAAGCCTTGAATGTACTTAATGTGCGCTCGACGTAAGTTGATACAAGTGTAGCCCAATTTAAATATGAAACGTTTGAAATGTTCATATTATCAGGAATAAGGGCGTTTTCCTCGCCCTTTACAATTTTATCCACACCCCTTATTGTATCCAAGCCTACGTTAGCTGAGAAAACGGCTTTGAATTTTTCCAACACCAATTTGGCAAGAGGTTCCTGCGCTTCTATAAGCCGCATGGGCATGTGTGAATTTTTTAATCTTAAAAAAAAAAATTGTAAATGCTATAGTAACTTTTTTAAAGGTAGAAAAGGCAAATATCTTAAAAAAGGCAAAAATAGGCAATATAAAATGTGTATATATGGAATCAGCGAAAGCTAAATCGTGGACATTCTTAATCGAATATACTCTATCTCTTTAGCAGAAAAAAGGCAATTTCCATAAAATCCGTCCCCTTCGTAATTTTGAAGTTTGCTATTTCTGTTTTGCTTGTTTCTTTATATGTGTTTTGTCGGTGGTTTATTTCAGCGATTTTCAATAAATTTTTTGTGCAAATGTAATTAAAATGAAGAGCGCGTTGATTGGGTGGTGCAAAAACACGTACAAAAATAATAAATTGGTTAGCACAAAAAGTGCTACAAAATAGGTTGAATTTTTTCTTTATGCTTCGTCTTCATATTCTTTGTTTACTTTTCATCTTGTCAGATTTGTGTAGTTGGATCATGGGCAGACAGCCTTCAAAAGCCGAAAGGGCAGATACAAGACTTCAGAGTGACAAAAGAATGTAACTGAGTAAGTCTATTTTTACAGATGAACTTATCACTGAAGTAACTTAAACTAATTTTTTTTTCTTTCTGTAAGAAGGAAAACATCTCATCATAACTTATTTATTAGTTCAGTTTCATATATGTAGAAAGTTGATCAATTCTGTATACTCAATTAACGATTTAGATTTAAGCAATTCCACCAGATTTGTATAAATAGTTGCTAAAAATATGGTAATTAGCTATTTTGGCATTGAGCGCTTGACATTCAAATATTGCATGCTCCGCGGTTTCACTGTCACCGCAAGCCAGACAAGAATCCGACTAATATTACGTTTATGCGACAGAATTCATGAATTCTTCACTTCATTAATTCAAAAATGGTCCCGTTTATGCATAGTTCACGAATTTGAAAAAGTGGCAACGCGCTAGCGAGAAACTAAACAGTAGGGTTGTGGCTGTTTTGGCCTCCTTTTGGGTTTGGAAAACCTGTTGGTAACTGAAAATGTACCATATTTTATTTAAATTGGTTTTAATATACTCTCATTTTAATCTATTTGAATTTATTTTATATTTGAACAATTCCACGTAACTTTGCCAGTTTTAACCCACATTCATGAAACGAATTCGTGAATTAGCCATCGCATAAACGTAGTGTTTATGTATGCGTACGATTGAGTATTTTGACTTCTAACATTCAATTTTACACTTTTTGTTCTTAAACTACGAAATTTTATTTACTCTACCCATGACCAAAGCAAACTTGGAGCCCTGAAATGACTCAGTCTCTCAATTTCTGTGTTCCATTCTTTCCATATTACTTTATAACATGTTATGTATTTCAGCCACTATATAGTTGTCAGTCGAGTCTTTGTCAAGAACTTCAAGAGCTTAAAGA